ATGAGGGGTATAAGTACTCATGATCTTAGCCAAAATCGAAAAATAGCATAGGTAATTAACCTAAAAGATGAAAAAGCTGTAATTGAAATTTAAAAATTACAGAGATGAAGAAAGTTCTTTTATAAAATGAAAAGCACCACAAATTATTAAGAAAACTGCATAAAATTTTATCTAAACATGTATATTTACAAAATGGATAATTTATTATTTACTATTTCTTTTATTAAAATTTTAAATACAAATAATTAAATATGTTGAATATTATTTACGTTATAATTATTTATTATTATACATTAATTTTATGTGTTGAGTAAAAAAGTACGTGATATAAATGAATTCGTATATATTGCAAATTGAAAAATAAATCTAATTAAATTGGGTGATCAAAAAGAAACAAAAACTTTAGTGATGATTTTGAAAACAAAAATAGTTGACTAATCAAAATAGAACCACACAAATAGTTGAGTGACTAAATATGTAATTTATTCACGAAGTTAACATATTGAGGCAATTGAGGTAACAATTTAAGCTTTAAGTCATAAAACGTCAAAAAAAATACTTTAAGTAGAAACTCGGTACAAACTGTATAGTTTAGGAGGTAATGGTGCATTTAAGCCTAAAAACAACAATGAAGTTAGGTTTTCTTTTTCCAGCACGGTTGCTTGTGAAAAAGAGTTATGAAGAGATCTTGATGACAAACACTGACACCCTGTAAAACTTTGCTATTCCTCGAATCCATGGGTACCTAATTAAGGTTGTTTTGCCAACTCCAGGAGGACCCATGACCAGACTAAAATCAAACTCTAATCTTGATTATCTAAACATGATCAATATCATTATTACGGTTTGGCCGAGTTGTCTAAGTCGCCAGATTTAGGCTCTGGTCCGGAAGGGCGTGGATTCAAATCCCACTGCTGTCAAGGGTTCCACTATTTTTAACTAACGACCCGCACTTGGGTTTATCCAGTGACAAGTTCAGTTTGTAATATTTTACTTTTAGCCGGGTGACTATGTGTGTAGTTTACCTTTTATATTTAAGGTTAAACTACTCTAACGGTCACTAAACTTTTAGGCCATTTTCATCTTTATCACCAAAATCGAAAAGCTGTCATTAGAATTACTATCGATAAGGAAAATTTGACTTTAGTCTCTGAATTGTTAAACTATTAATAGTTGTTGACGAGACATGCTCCTATGTCAAAAACAATTGAGTCAACTCGCCTTTGTATTGTTTTTTTTTTTTTTGAACTGTAACAGAAAAAGGTAAATAGAAATGCAAACATTACAGTGCCGAATCTAGCCAAAGCATGAAACATGTGAAGTTTGAATTTCACTGGAGGATCATGAAACATGTGAGAACCAAAGCATCGAGATGAAGGCAATGTAGTTAAACCATCCGCCACCCTATTGCACTCCCTCGGTGTATAATTGAAAATCAATTGTCAATTGCGTCTTGTAAACTCGAGGGTGTGATACCATCGACGAGCTTCCGCCCTACCTGGAGAATACAGCCATGAAACGATAAGGCAGTCTTGCAGTCCGTTTTGACCATCACACTGTTGTAATTCAAGTTCCATGTAATGGAGAGACCTTCAAAAATGCCCCATTACTCCGCATCTAATGCCGAACATGTTTCAATGTTGATGGTCCTGGCAAGCTCAATTACTAAGAAAATTCTTTCAGATTTCGTATACATCTCTTCATAACTTGTTTTGTTTTTATTAATTGAAAAATATTCAATTGTGTTTTACTGATATAATTGACCGGTTTAATTGGAGATCACCTGGTTAAAGTGGATTATGAGATTCTTAAGAAAAGAAGAAACCATTGGAAGGCTAAAGTGGATGCATTGAAAGCTATGATGTAGGATCTTAATTCAGAGGCTTCCTTCTTTTGTTTCTGAAGCTGCTGTAAGTTCCCCAGATTTCCTCCTCCATCTGTGAGAATTGGGTATTAGTCTGTTTATTATATTTTTCTTGTGCCTGGTCTTCAAATGTCACTGTTATTTTGTGTCTTCTTCTTGCAGCTGAAGATTATAAAAATAGTTATGAAGTTTGTGGGTAAGTTTAGTTAGTCATAATTCATTCATGAACAGCCTTTTCAAACATGGTATGCGAAATTCACTATTAAGTTTGATGCTCAAAGTGATTCAAAAATAGAGAGGTGACGATTATTAAATAATACTACGCATTAGAGACTTATTGTCCTTGAGTATTCTACGCACTATTGTCCATACCATAATATAGAGGTGACGAGTTTCATTCAAAAATTATTATTATTTTTTAATATGAATTTAATTTAAAAAAATTAGAACTCGTCATGTTGAGATGAAGATTTGATTGGTGTAAAAAATAAGTTTTTTGTTTTAGATTTGAAACGTCCAAACCCACACTTTTTATAGTGGATAAACTACATGTTTAATATATAAACTATTAGTTTTGTTTTCTTTTGGTACCTAAATTTTTATGTGTCAAAATTATACATAACGTTTACTTTTTATTTCATTTTGGTATCTCACTGTTAAAATTAAATTTAAAAGTTAGAGTGATTAAATTAGGAGCAATTTAAAAGTTATTAAATTTAACTTTTTTATTTTAATTATATACTAATAAATTAATAATAAAAATATGACGTCACAGAATTAAAAAATTAAACTCCAGTGACCAAAATAGGAGTGAGAAGATAGTTGAGTGATAAATGATATAATTAACTCATAAAAATGTCATGCTTATTTCGCTAAATTTCTAATAGCGAGGTACCAAATTAAAATAAAAATAAATGTTAGGTATAATTTTGAAAGAAATAAAAGTTTAGGTACAAATAAAACAAAACTAATAGTTAATATATTTGATATGTAGTTTACCCAATATAAAAGTTGATGCCTTTATGGGTTTGGATGTTTAAAATCTAAAACAAGAAGCTTATTTTAATGGAACTTTTTAAACTAAATTCATATTAAAAATATAAAAAATTATTTTTTTAGTGAAACTTGTCACCTCAAAAAATATTAAAATAATATATCTAGAATATAAAAATAATATCTAGAGAACTCATCGCATATACAGTAGAAAATGTCGTATATCACAAAATAATTTGGTGACACCTCTTTTTTCCTATATAATTTTGAAGCCCACGGTAATGGGCCAAAAAACCAGCAACACACACTTGGGTTCAGCCCATAACCTTGGAGACACTTGCGAAATTTTATTGTCAAAATTTATTATTTTATTATCAATAACATATAATTTCACACAGAAATTACACAACCTTTAGCTTACAAGCAAAACAACCAAAATAATTACTCCGATAACTTTATCACTTTTTTCCTTTTCTTTTCATTAGATGACATTGCTTTTCAAATCTAATTTTCTTTTAAAATTCCATTCATTTATAGGTTCATAAATATCTTTAATATCTCTTTTTTTTTAATTAATCATCAATATCCGATTCACTGACCGACTAATCTAGATCCGGTACTGTAGATACGAGGGCGACCCTCCCAACCCAGTTTACTCCATTTGCAAACATCAGGGTTTAAACTCTTGACCTTGCTTAAAGAAACTAGTGTCTAATCCTACTAGACCAACCGTTGTTCTTTAATATTTCTTTTAAAATGTTGTTTATCAAACTTACTCTTTCTTTCTTGCTCTCGATAAACAAAAAAAAAAGCAAATTATCATCTATTTTTCTTGTGTCCCACGTGTTGAATAGGAAACCCAAACCTGCAATTTGGTTTGATATCGAAGAACAAGACAATCAAATAATATTCATACATACATATATGTATATGAACATATATAATAATCATCTGCAGATATTTACACAACTAAACCCCATCTGTCTCACTTTCTCCCTTGCTTGTATCCAATTTGCCTTCACTTCCTTCCACCCATTGTTCCAATTTCGATTCTTTATCCGCCTTCAAATCGTCGTAGTCTTCAGACACGAACAATAAACTATCACCGGGCAGTTTGACGTTGTCTTCAGTTTCATCCTTCACTTCTTCGTGGAGTTTATCTGCCTGTTGATATTGAACCAGGTTTTGGGGCTCAGTTGTTACCTCATCAGGAATTGAACCAATGCAAGCAGATGCAGGCAGCACCAGTGGAGCAGGACACCGAACCGGCTTCTGAGTTTCTGTTTCACTCGGTTCCTTGGACTCGACTTGGAACCACTTAAAACTGCTCGTCTTCTCTCTCACCGACTTGAATAAGGTCGAAAAATAGTATCTTACAACCTGATACCGGACATCTACGGATCCATAACTCCATGATATCGGTCCCGAAGATCTAGTTCTTGTTATGGTAAATCCCGAATGAAGGCTGTTGACCAATCCTTGCTTCAGTTTCTCTTCCGATGATATTAACATTAGCGAATTCGCGATGTCCTTGATCATCTCGTCGACAATGGGGATGCCACATTCCTTCATTGACCTCACCATGGTGATCGAATCTTCTGAGTCCTCCAAATGCAAACTCGCTTCCCGGGACTTCTCCACGACCCGATTACTGAGATCAACAACCTTTGGAACCGCATCGTGCGTCTTTTGAACATACAAAAGACCGAGCGACGGTTCGTTCCCGATGCACTTGATCATCTCTGCCAGGGATTCAGTTTTCTCCACGAAGCCGTTAACGGTGGAGAATCCGTTCATCTTGTTGAAGGTGAACCACAGTTCATCACAGGTTTGTCAACAATCTAAAAAACAACATTTTGAAATGCAGGGTTTAATTTCATAGTTTACAATTTGATTCTTCGTGCAATAGAATCAAGCATAAACAGGGATAAACCGACGGGCCCGTAAAATTATCAAATAATTTACATATTTCTTCGTATTCTCTATTAACATTTTGTTGTTTGAAATTTTACAAGTTTGTAGCCCCTCACATAAAATCATATCCGTTGCTGCTCATAATTTCTTCAAAATCGTTCATAATCCTAAACAAGAAAAAATAAATAAACAACTCAACAGACTAAACAACGGAGACCATGCATTGAAATCAATACCTACATCGAAACAACGAAAAAAAAAACCTAGAAATCAAAATGTATTATCGACTTTGATTTAGTTCAATTAAAACAAAAGAGAGGGGTGGGGAATCACTTACCAAAAAACCGGCTTGAAGGGGAGTGAAAAATTGCCAAAGAAAGAAGAACCAATCTTCAAAACTTGAAACTTGGAGCGTAAAGAGGCATTATTGATTTGGATTTTTCATGTATGCACTCGGAAGAGTGGATTATGGCATTCCATACACAAAACCGAATATTGGTTTTTGTCGCTTTATTGATTCCAATCCATCCTTGTCTACACTTTACGGCTCATTTCTAGTGAGTCGTTTTCGGATCTCGTATCAATACTTCAAATTATATTTTATCATTTTATTATAAATATGTCTATATTAAACATGATTTATTTAACTCGTATAATTTTACATTTTTTATGATCATTAGAGGACTGAAAATATTATAAAATGATTAATTGCTTATTTCAACTTATCCAAACATTCTAAAAATTTATAAAACTAGAAGTTTTACCTCAAGTGTTCAACCCTTTTAGATTTCCATTTTATTATTGTTAAAAATTAGATTAAATTGTAGAACAAAACAAATTAACATGTTAACTGGCAATAATAAAAAGAGCAAAGGGGGTTTAAAGTTTTGCATACCTCATGAGAAGTGCTTTTTTTTGGGCAGAGACCGTCACTCTTTCCTTCCGAACAGCTTCAGGAAGCTGCGCCGCAGTTTCACTGGCTATTTCCGAAAGAACCTTGTCAACTTCTTCTTCAGTCTCTTCTTCGATATCTTCGGAATCCAATGCCGAGTCGAGGGAATCGTTTACTATTTCTTCAATAACCCCCGCCTACAAACCAAGTTTATGCCAACAAATATAAGGAACTCCAAAAATATGAGCATGCAGATGCTTCTGACGTGGACTTTTTCAGGTCCCTGGTACTTTAAAAGGGGATGCTCATCAGTTTACGTATGTTACAAAATAGTAGACCGCTTTGTTCTTTCGATTCTACGTTACTGAAACTCGAATTTATCAGATTCGGATACATACAACACGGGTATGTTTAATTGTTTTCCAAGTTTTTTTTAGGATCTTTAAAAGATCATATCTTCACATCGAACACAAAAATTCCTGGATATCTTCAACTTTGGGACCAAAAAAACACAAATAAAAAACCAATCTTGAGGAAACATAGGAACTCTGAACAACAATGGTAAAAACCAGAATATTGTTGATGATGAGAAAACAGGCGCTAGGAACTACTGAAACAGGAATATTGCTGACAAGATTGATAAATATTATGCAACTTTGGGACCAAAAAAACACAAATAAAAACCAATCTTGAGGAAACATAGGAACTCTGAACAACAATGGTAAAAACCAGAATATTGTTGATGATGAGAAAACAGGCGCTAGGAACTACTGAAACAGGAATATTGCTGACAAGATTGATAAATATTATGAAACAAAAACTGGCACATAAAATGCAATAAAATTATGAACTTGAAATTTACCTTGGTCACTTTTGCTAAATTCTTGCATCGTGGCAGCCAACTGTGGAACTTTCATGGCGTTGTTTACAAGCTTAATGACTTCAGCACTCTTGAACAAATGGCCAACAGTTCGAACAATTGCTTCAAACACATCCAGCAACAAAGACCATTTAGAAAGAAAAGCAGTTCTTTCAAGAGAAGACGAAACATGTGCTTAGGTGTGTCAGATTATAAGTCTAATACGACAAATATTGATATGTTTACAAAAGCAAGCCCGAGCCAACAACAGTCTCAGCCTATGTTCAAAAAATTGTGTTCTTTTTAAAGGTACTGGGACATAATAGCATTAACAGGAAGTCTGGAATAATCAGAACATACAGATTTCAGATGCATAAGTTATCATACCGACACTTTCTCCAAGGTGCATTGATATTGAATTGAGCTGGGCTTTATTCTCATATAGACGGTTCACGGTTTTTCTGGACATTAGAATTTCCTTTGCAAGTGCCTGAAAAAAACATAGAACAAGGATCACTACAAGCGCATATATAAGACATGACTCATCAATAACGAGGCAATTACCAAATCACAGACATGAAAGCATGAACACAAAGGAAATAGATTTCACATATAACACACACGCTAAGGCATAGGGTTTCAGTTGGTTGGACCACCCAAAGAAAACATGATCATTTCATGATGACAGAAACCAACATCTTTTTTTTCTTTTTGTTTTCGGTTCCAACAAAGAACTAGTGAAGAGTTACAACTCCAAATCCTAAGATCTTCTAGAGAACTTGTCAGATGAATACCTAAGATCAGCTAGATTTACGATAAATCAAGCAGCATTCTTTTCATGCACGATCGATCATTCTATCAAACTCCAATCAACTTGAGCATTCCAAAGCACAAAATTACTCTACACCATATTAAGACCTAGATCATTTTACAATGAACTTCAATTTACAAGACACCGTGATTAAGGATGGCTACATGAACCAATAGGTTCGCTAAAATTTACAAAACCAAGGCCGCGATGGAATCACTGGGATTCAAATCCCTCTAGTTGAATGCCACTCTTTAAGGTGGCTACACGAACAAACGGGTTAGCCTCAATGATTTTAATGTAATTATGTAACTTATCTTCGTAATTATACCATTCCAAATAAAAACAACTACGGCATGATGAAACTACTTGGCTAAAGTTCCATTGAAGGGGAAAATAAAAGAAATTTTACCTTAGCAGAACCCATGTCATTTCTCTTGGTAGCTTCTTTAATTGCTTTCTGTACACTTTTCTCCTCTCTCTGAATATCTAAAACAAAAGCCACACAAATATCAGAGAATTAGACCAAAACCATTAAAAGAAAAAAATCCCATTATTTTAAACCTTAAATCTCAAACATTCATTAACTGATAACCCAAAATTACCAGGAAAAACCAATCATCGAGATTTTGAAAAACAATTTTTTTTTGGTTAGGGGAGGGTGAAAAATCTTGCCTCTGATTTGTCGTTCGATGTTACGGCATTCTAGCACCTTTCTGACAAAGCGCGGATCATGAAGCGCGCCTTCACGGGGCTGTGCAAGCTGGCGCCATTTAGCAAAGGCACGGATCATTAAGCGCGCTTCGCTGGGAAATCTGACACGTGCAGGGAAGGTGCAGATCATGAGGAGCACCTTCCATTATCACGAATTATTGCACACTCCATTATTACCTGAGCCAACTCTATCGGTCACCCATCCCCCTCTCCTATAAATACCCCCGAATGCAAACATTAAACCACACCAAAATTAATTTCACATTCTTCCTTCTATTAAGCTATATAGATTTTGTTATACTTTTTTAGAAGGTAAAATTATTTTTTATTATATTATATTTATTTTATATTTAATTATTTGATCAAATTTTATGGTACTAATTATTTTGTATTATTTTTTGCGGTTGTAAAATGGAAGGCGAGATTATATCTCGAGACATTTTGCCAATACGGTAACAATATTAAATTATGTTATTAAAATTATTGTGAATTTTTTTTATTTTTTTAGCATTAGTTTATATTTTAATTCGTATACTATTTATTTAATTTGGTGTATTTCAACTATTATTTGCAGATGTAGGACTCTCATTCTCTCAAACTCTCAAAATGAGGCGTATTTCAGCTATTGTTTACCATGATAGAGAAATTCGGGAATATAAACCGACGTTGTCTTCGCATCAAATCATTCAATCATAATATCCTTCAATAGAAACATCACTCTTGAGGAGTTGATCACTAAATTTCAAGAAAGTTCATGTTGGAAGTACTAGAAGATTGTTCTTACTTAGTACAGATTTCCAACTGCATTATTTCCGTTAACTTATACATTTCGAACTCTCCAACGATGACGATTGCTATGATGGTTGATGCTCAGAATTAAAGTTCAGACGCTGATACAAAATGTATGCCATATTTGTTGAAGTGTCTGCGGTTCGTGGTATGTCATTATGCTCCCACTATAGGCTGACTCAACAAGTTGATCAAGTTGACAGCCCAACTAAAGTAATGTGTAATGATTTTAACTTGTTAATGGGAAATCCACATCCTGGTACCATCCCATCAAGTTCAATGGGGAGACATTCATCAGCAACTTGTTACGATCTCCACCGAGGTGGCTTCACAAATAATATATATGCCACATTGCTTCCAGTCAAGGGGAAGCATTCATCTGCCAATTTCTTTAACAAAATATAGAGATGCCCTCGACATAACAATCTATTTGGTACCCATTTGACACGATGCCTACAAGTTCTTGAGGGAGGCATTCAATTGTGAGCTTCTACACCTCAATATGGAGATGCATGTGACACAACATTCAGTTCAAAACTCATACGACACGATGCCTTCAAGTTCAGGGGGAAGACATTCAAATATCAACTTGTTCGACCTAAATATTGGCATCACAAAAGAACCTCATCTCCACCAGAGAACCTATTCGTGAGCCAGTGCGGGTGATGATAAGAATGAACTATTCATTAAGCTAGAATCACTGTAGTTCAACATGGACTCTGATGATAATGATGTAGATAAAGTTCCCATAAATGGTACAAAAAGAATCTCCAGCACACATGTATGAAGTGACTATGGTGTAATGTACGGCCAGAATTTGTGGATATGCTTAATGGTGGTGACTACGGATTTAACTTATCAGTCAATGATGGTGATTTATATATCAGAATGGGGTTTTCATCCAAAGAAAAAATGATGATTACAATTAAGAATTACAATATTCATAATTCTGTTTACTCCAGAGTTGACCAATCCACTACCGAAAAGTATGTATGCTACTGTGTCCACATAATAACATATACAACTAGATGGTTCGAATATCAAGAGGAAGAGGAAAAAAACATATTGGAACTAATAGTTACAAAGGTCTTCATACATGTTGTGTTAGAGAATCACCAGGACTTCAACATTATCTGTCAAGTCCTCATGGCCATAGTCAAAGCAAGCTCCCATATAACTATTGTGGTTCAATTGATGGGACTTATTGTATGGAAAATATGCTCAGTTACGAACAATTACCTCAAACGTTTGAGTTCATACTTCAAGATTTATGAGGAAAAAAAATGGTACAATTACATTAAAGTTAGGATTTTCGGAAGCTCGATTCAACAACCGAAACGGTTTAAAGAGGGGTCGGAACGGTTTTTTGAGTTTAGGGAGTAAGGAGATTGAAAGATAGAAAATTGCACTCGATTTAGTGGTTCAACTTTCTAAACCAAAGTCTACGTCCATACCTTAGCTCCTCACCAAGGATTTCCAACAAATTCACTAATTAGTTCTTCTTTTGAGGACAAAGAGATAACCTACAACTCCTAGTTTTTCCGGGCTAACTACAACCTTTCCCTAGCTTTTACACGGGATAAGCTAGAACCTTTCCCCTTTACAAAATGATAAAATAAGTAAACAAGAAAACCTCTCTAAGGTAGGTGTTTACAAGATTGAGCTCACAAGAACAAAATATTTACAAGAGAAAGATGAAATAAGATTGAAAAACTCTTCTCTTGTGTTTGATTGCTTGGATAGTTGTTCTCTTTCTTCTTCAAGTGTCCTTAGCTTGTATTTATAGCTTGGAAAGTGTTTGATGTTGTATATAGCCGTTGGGGATGTTTTGGAGCCGTTTGGGGATGATTTTTCTACTCAAAAAGGTTACCCATAACATGGTGCATCGGTGCACTATCATAGTGCATCGATACCCCTTCATTAAATTCAAATAAACAAGTTGTTACTAGTCGTTGCAGCCTTCGTGCGTAGATGCACAGCAGGATGCATCGATGCACAGCAAGATGCATTGATGCACATCAGGATGCATCGATGCACTAAGTGCATTCGAAATGGAGTGCATGGATGCACTACATGGTGCATCGATTCACTAGTGCAGGTGCATGGATGCACCGCAGGGGTGCATGGATGCACTTTGACACCCTTTAGCATTTTTACTCAAATCCGAATTTAATGGACTTTGAATTATTTTTGAAACCTTTTTAAAACTTTGAATAAATTCAATTCAAGTCCAAAAACATTTTGCCTTAAATTTGTTATATCGAACATAATTCAACAATTAACCTCATCAACAAAAAAATGTGGACAAATGAATATGGTGGTGGATATCGATATGGACACATGACGACCAACTTGGTTAAGGCTATCAATTCAAACTTAAAGGGGGTGTGCCATTTACTAATAACAACTTTGGTTAAAATGATTTATTTTCATTTAGAAGCACGTTTTGAAAATCTCAAGGGACAAGCTCTAACTTAGATGCAAAACAGCCATACTTATCACCCAAGATTACTTGCAAATCTACAAAAAGAAATTGTTGCATCAAATGGAATGTCTGTAACAAGCTTATCTCGAACCCATGAATTATTTCATGTCAAATAAATGAATGACCTCTTCAAGGGATTGAAGCTAACTTGTTCAAAGCTAATCTACAAGACATGCGGTGTGACTGTAGGTTTTTTCAAGCTCTGAAGTATCCATGCTCTCATGTCATAGCAACTTGCTCTTATACTCGTCAAGACTATAACCGTTTTGTGGATCTTGTATAACGACTTTTAGAAGTATTTAAGGTATATGAATTTGAGTTCCCCCATATGTAATGAGAAATACCTATATGAGGTTCAAAATTGACTTTTGATTGTACCAGATCCATCCTTATTAAGGGAGGCATGCCATCCAAAATCCACTCGAATTCATTGTGACATGGATACTCAAGAGACGTCCAAAGAAAACAAAAGATGTGGGCATTGTGAAAACCTAGGTCATAATAGGAAAAAATGCCAATCTTTTTTTTCATCATGTAACTGTTGATGTTGTGATGATGTAATTGTTATTTATGAAGCCTCAGTTTGTGTTATTTCATTTTCGTTTACTTTTAATTAATGTGTTACTCAAGTGATGGGCTACTCACGTGAAAATTAAATAAAAACATTACAAACTAAATAATGAAAATAATTAAAACAATTAAATAGAAACATTAAATACAAATGTTACAATTTAAACAATTAAATAATAAAAACATTAAGACACAAAATAAATAAAAAGTCCATAATTAAATAATAAAAACATTAAGAAACAAGATAAATAAAATCTCCATAACTAAATAATAAAAACATTAAGAAACAAAATAAATAAAAAGTTTATAATTAAATAAAAACATTAAGAAACAAAATAAATAAAAAATTCATAATTAAATAAAAACATTAAAAAAGCAAAATAAATAAAAAGTCCATAATTAAATAAAAACATTAAGAAGCAAAATATATAAAAACAAGTCTATCGATGTATTCCTCTTGAATATGTTCCACAGGGCGGTGGTTGTTTATTTCAATAAGGATTTCTTCATATAAGTTGTTCTTCCTCCTCGCTCTTATCATCATCAGCAGCAGGAACAACAGCTACATTTTGTTGATGAGTGACGGATGATGATGTAACACCTCCATAGAATAAGGACCCTAAAGGTGTATGACTAACCATCTACCGCTCATAGAAAACTGTAAAAACTACTAAAACACCGACATCGATGAATGGAAAAACTGAGTCAGAGGTGTATGTGTCTCTAGTGAAGCATCACCCGCAAATAAGCAGCATATGAAGACCACGTTGGATCTATAAGCATGTGAGTATATCGCTAAGAGGTGTCATAAAACCATGCAGTGGTGGCATCTGAAATGGTTGAGGTGGCATTGAAAATGATTGCAGTGCCATCTGAAGAAGAATATAAATCGATGGATGTTGTGTTGGTTCCAGTGCTGCAGTTGAGGAAGAGCTAGAAGCGTATGCTCTCCGTCCACGAGTCAGGGGCGGTGATGTTGTGATAATAAACATTTTTCTCGATACCGACGAATGCTCCCGCCTCGTGCTTCCTCGAAAAGTAGGAACGACTTCTAATTCATGTTGAACCACTGATAATAGTCATCTGTAACCGAATAATGATCCACATAAATTAGCTCCCTACGAAGAATACATCAATTTCAATCATCTCATATCATTACCCACTTGTTGTGCTTAATTAGCCAGTTGACTTCTTTTTTCCCCGTCTATCGATGTTATACATATTGTCGAGATTCCTAGGTGCTTCAAGAATAGATTGTACGAAACTAAATTGGCAGAGCACACGATCAATAGGTCACTCAAGTGAGGTGGGAATCAACACCTCATTTCTTCATAGAATAAGAAGCCCATTGAAATTAAAACAAATATATAATTCTTATCAAAATAATATTCTAATTATATAACGATAATTAAAGGTAAATAATAAAACTTAAATACATACCTCTGTATTAGCCTTTTGATCAATGAGCAGCTGAATTTCTACCAATTTATCTTGTATATCACGGTGATCTTTCCTTATAGATAACCACCTATTCAATGTAAAAAAAATTCATTATATACTCAAAAAGTATTATTTATAGACAAACCCAATATTGAAATTACCTCAACAATAACAGGAAGACTAACATGTGTTTCACGACCGTGCATAAAAAGGGCATTCGATACCACTTTCATGACTGCAGAATAAGAAAACATCCACCGATATCATTTTTTTATAATTAGTTGCTTGACACATTTCTCTATACAGAGATGCCAAAACCGCGGAACCCCAACTACAAAGTCGACAACTCAAAAATTTACGAGATGAGGCAACCACATATAATTAACTTGGTTGCGAGATTTATCGGGCATCAAGATCCCTCCTATGAGTTGCAATATGCAAGTCCAGGAAAATATTTGAGCATGTTCCTCGGAACAGTTGTCGCTCAACTGTCAAAAATTTCTAGCCAATCATGATAACGGTATTCGACCACCGTTGAAATTAGGCAAGATACCTCAAAGATACTCCTCGCACAAGGAATGTCAATCACCATCCGCCACACCATAAATAGCATCCCCGTCTATTGGAAGCCCCAAATGTAAGGAAATATCCTAGCGTAATAGTGCACTTCCCACACGGAAGATGTAATATGTGTGTTTGTGATCTCCACCTCTCAATCAGTGCAGAAATAAGGTTGGATTCAAGGTTACAGTGCCCTTCATATTTAGCTATGTAACTGAATCCATCCTCAGTTAAATACGGCCAGATGTGACTCGGTATCTCTAATTTACGTTACAAATAAATGGATCTAATATAAGATCATTCACCTAATTAAATAAAAATACAAATTAAAATATAAATTGATACTAAAAATAAATGAATAAAATATTCATAATAAATAAAATAACAGAATTTAAAATTATTATGTATCGGTAAAATAACTCGATATATGATTCTCATCTAAACGCAGCAACCCGATTGTCATTTTATAACTACAAAAAGTAATAAAAATTAGTACAATAAAATATAATAAAATAATAAACTATTAAATTATTATAATATAATAAAAAATTAGCTTCGAAAAATGATAATTATACTTATTTAAAACTTGATAGAACGATATATAGAAGGAAGAAATATAGTGTTTTTTGTGTGGTATGAGTGTTGGATGAAGGGGTATTTATAGGAGATGGAGACAGGGGGTTGGGCGGTATTTAAGGCATGATGGTTGGGATTTAAATACAATCTTAGCAAAGGCGATTCATGATCTGTGCTTTATTACCGTGGCGCCAGCTCGGATAAAACCCCGTGAAGGCACGGATTATGATATGCACTTTTTTACCGTGGCACCAGCTTGAACAAAACCCTGCGAATGGGCACCTCATGATCCACGCTTTGTCAGAAAGGGTGCTAGATGTGTAATATTTGGAGAAAATGTGCCTGAAAGGTAATATTTAAACTATTATGCTAATTTTTGGGTAAAATTGTTTTGTTTTTCCTCGTTAGTTTTTCCTTTTAATTTAGGTTAAACTACCAAAATGGTCATTTTGGTTTCATAATTGTTCACCTTTGATCACTAAATTTAGAAAATAATGTTTTGATCACTAAAACATTAAATGTAGTTAGTTTGATTATGTGACACACTAATAAAATGAGTTAATTTTTAGGCTATTTTTGTTTCCCGATAATTGGTTTTTGGAAAATGTTTTCTTCATTTTTCAGTGTTTGGTTGGCGGAAAACAAATGGTCAATGTAATTCATTTTCTTGATCAATTGAATTTCCTTTACATTTTCTGAAAAATTATTTACCATCTTATTTTCCATAAGTCATTTTATGAACTTGTCAATTCAAAGGATAAACACTCAAAACATCATTATTTTATATATAGAATATTAAGAAATTATTTTAATATCATTTAAAAAAATATTAATTATTAAATTATATCTATTGATAATTTTAATAATATAATATATTTATTTTTATAATTATATTATTATAATATATAATATTACAATTTTATTTTCATAATATATAATAAATTATGAATGAAATTAATATTATCTATTAATTTCATAAAAATAATATTATTGAATTGTTGAATAATTAATATATACTCTTTAAAATATAATATTCTTATTTTAATATATTTTTTAATATTTTAATAATATTATTTTAATAAATAATTAATATAATTAATAATATATTATTCTCATTTTAATAAGCAATTAATATAATTTATATTAATTTTATTTAAAAAATATAATAATCATAGTATTTTTACTTATAAATTTGTTGATATAATATTTTAATAATAATAATGACATAAATAATATTGAATAAGTTATTTTAATATTTTAAAAATAATATGATTATTTTGTTAATAAATAATATTATTCATTGTATTTGATGTTTATAAAAAAGAATTTTCAAAAAATTACCGACCAGTTGAAAATGAATTACACAACATCATCTGAACACCATAAAATGATTTCCAATAAATGTAATTCAGTTTACGGAATTCATTTTCCGAAATTCGTTTTCCATAAAACAGACAGACCATTAATTTGATTCTTAAACTTTACATAAAATATCAATTATATCTCTCCAATCTAACCAAAATTCTTTGTTGTGAGCTGCCAATCAACTTATGGGTTATAAGCTTTAAATCTAAACTATTTATTTATTTGAATCTAATGACTATAAATTAGTATAAAATTTATTAGTTTTACCTATACACATTAAATCAGTTGTTCAATTGCGAATTTTAACAACCGGTGAATGATGGACAAAATCAACTTAAAACGTAAAAACGGAACCCCACTTAATTGAATGGGTTGATTAGGCAATCCCAATCAACTTACGCTCTCCACTCATTCAACTGTTGAAAGCACTCATACAATGTCAACGAAAAAGCAACTATACTGTTGTTTTTCCCCCCCAAAAAATCGGTCTTTATGTTTGATACTCGTGTCTAACATATTTCCAGATACAAAATGAAATCTATGATTCTCACAGCAGGAAAAAAAATAGAATGAAGAAACCAAAAATAACATACTCGTGTAGCACAAACATCCGAATCCAAGTGACATAGTCGAAATGTGTGTTTCTTAAGACCAAGGAGGCGCAGACCAGCAATCGCCTAAAAGTCTCTGATGCCTGTACTCCGTCATCGTTCGTCTAATCGAACAGCCCTTCGTCGTGCCAAATATCGACTAGGAAATCTACCATTTCCTGCACAACAAGGTTTATTGCAGTTAGTAGTTGTCGATGGCATTTGTTTATGATGATATTCCTGATACGGCTGCACTGCAGATATTCATTTAAACCGAGGAAACCGGACAAACCCTAGCCCTTTTTTCGTGACCAACGAACGGAGACAAGCGCTAAACAATCTTAGCATTCAAATGTGTTTATTGATGACTGATTCAGTAAAAACAATTACTTGTTCTTGATGTCCAGTTTGGGGAACTTACAGGCAAAGGAATTGGCTGGGAAAATGGCTCATTAGTCAAGAGAAGGTCTTCGTATGTTGTGGACCAGCTGCAACATAAGTTTTTGCAGTTATCATCCGACATATTCAAGCAACAGTAAGAAAGTTTTAAACTAGTAAAAATCTGGATAACGAGTAGTCGATATCGTACAACACATGAACGAAACAATCGGAAGAGATGTTCTTCGTTTATTCGTAAATGTTATGCCTAATAATCACTATTACTATGCTGCAACCGTGATAGTTTCCACAGAAGCTAGATCATATATATTCTATTTGAGCTAACAAGTTTCTGGAGTTTGAGAATCCGTACATATAAACATCAATGTGTGTCACCATACGAGGCATTTCTCGTTACTCGAACTTCGGTAGGGTCTGCGAAAGTTTAATTCGACATTGAAGTTTGAACAACCATTTAAGAGAAAACACTTAGAGCCTTGATTATTTCCAACAAACCCGGACCTATACCACTTGAGCCAAGCAGAATAGCAACTTCAGCTCAAACTTTTAACTGCAGATTAACAAGATGATGAGACAAACGTTCATCGGCACCAAGATTTTGGGTATTCCTTACCATTTTCCATCAAATGCAAATTTTATCGAGAGCATACTTGTGCCGGACACATATACGTCTCTGACACTCACCACCTAGTCCGGGTCACATAGATTTCAACTAGGGTGTTTCTGGATGCATATATGGTGCCTATCTCCCCACATCCAAAATAGAATACGGTAGAGCAATACGAAACAGTCGTCGAACAAACGGAAGTAAAAAAACGTTATACCTTATAACTTGATCCTTGCTCATCACCCGTGATTGTTGAGATTTATCCCCAGTCCACCTTTTCCTATTCTCATGCCAAGCGATTGCAGCTACATAATAGATTCAATCAGATCATAACTTCATGCTCAAAAGCCAAAGCATAAATATAGACTCAACAGAAACAAACAAAAACAATAGATCTTCTAATCCTGCATTTCCTATCCTCTTGTACTGGAGTCCAGTACATTTTTGGACATGGCACGGGGATATGACCCCCTAAATACAGAGCTATTTTCGAAAAATAGAGCATCTCTCTCTTGGATATGTACCCATATCTGACATGTGAGTCATAACGGAGGGTACATCAAGAGAATGAGAGGCTAAGTACGGGTGGCATTGTCAATGCAAAAAGTGGGAAAATACCAATCATCAAACATATATAAAGCAAGGGAACCAACCATGATTTACGAATGCAGAACCGCTTGCATCTTTTTCAGCAGGCTTTTCCCCTTTATCAGCAGATTTTCGACGATCCAGCCGTTGTTTCTCGTTTGAACAGGAATGTCCAGTATTGACCTCCATCGTCTCCGAACCAAATGACCATTCCCTTTTCATAAAAATTGAAATACTAGCCAATGGTGCTCCTCTTAAATTCCCTAATCTATCCACAAAAGTTGGTGGGGCTTCAAGTCCGCTACTATGCAAGAATAAGATCTTCTAAACAATGAACATCAACTAGAAAAGAAAAAGAAGAAATTTTCCGTATGGATATCGATCATTTACAACATATGACTCCATCAATTCAGCTCGATAATATTATATGCTATAGAATACATAACGATATACCACGACACGATATGTTTTCACATCACATGTATATATAGCTAACACCTTATCAGAAGCATTTTCACTATAGCGCGGATTATAAAACATCTTTGGACATTGACACACACACACACATATTCGTTCTATATCATTAACTACCTTCTTCCCCGAGTGCTTATTCGGTTCAATCCGACATAGTCTTATCCTTATGCACACGAAGCAAGAGCATGAACATATGTTTCAAGAATAAAAGCTCAAGGAAACCTAAAATACGAAACTCCTCAAGGAAGATTTCATCATGTAAGAATATAGAAGTTCTTGGTCCAAAAAACACAAGTGGATTCCTGAAAAAATTCTCATGAATTTGTCCTCATTCAGAGAATCCAGTGAAAGCAAAAGCCTAAATGATCTTCTCTTGTTGAAGACATCTACAATTTCAAACAGTACCTTTTTAAAAATAATCATGCCTATATATACATCAGTAAAAATACATTCCAAATTCATTGCTTTTCCACTTAAGAAACACTGAATCAGCTACAATGATAAGACCTATTATACAAGAACAATAATGTGAACCTATCAAACAAACCATCTAGACAAAAAGATTCATAAAAAATAAAAAACACTTACTTTAAAGAACCAACAACGCATTTGGCCGTGAAAAATTTAAAAACAAGAGGGGGACCCAATAGAAGAGAAAGTAGAAAAAGAAAAGGGAAATACCTTTTGAGGAGGATAAAGTGGGGTTTTGGAGATGGTTTATGGGAAGAGATTCAAAAAGACATTAAATTTTTCTTTTTGTAAGAAAGGAAAGAAATCACTGTGTGTTTTCATTATATTGTGTATGCATGTCTCTGTCAAGGCTGACGTGGATGTGATTTGGAATTTTGACGCGTGGAATTTTATAATGGATAGACTCGTCTGCAAGATTGTCACGTGTTTTTATTATGAACAAATGAAATTACATATTTATCCATCAGTATATATACAAGCATATATTGCATCAAACGTTCCTAAAATTATGATTAAAATTTTAAATTGATTTTCGTACTTTAAAACGTACTAATAAAATTTTTAAATTATTATATAATTTTAATTAAATTTTCAATTAGTTTAATAATTAATTTAAATATTAGAATCTTTATTGTTCCTAAAAGTTAAAAGAATTGTTGAGAATATTTAAAATATATATTATTTTATAATAACATTAGTTTAATATAAAAACTTAAATATTGAATATATAATGCTTTTTCCATGAAGAAATTAAATATCTTACATCCAACCTTATTTTTCACACGAACAGATAAAAAAAATATGAAAGCACGACTTATTAATTATATCATTTAGTTGAAGAAATAATATCTTTTAAATTAATGTCAACCACTCTCCCCTTTCATTTTTTTTGAGTTGGTGTATTTTTTATAGATCAGATTAATTTTTCCTTCTTTGATTTTATTTAACCGAAGACTGTATCAATTTTGATAATGAGTCTGACCGTCAGTTCTCTTTTCGTTTTGTTTTTTTAATTTTTTAATAAGATTAATTATGTTTTTATAGAACGTTTATCTCTGTCTTCATGACACGTTTATCTCAACTTTTGTGGCAAGTTTTCTTCTTCTTTTTTATCATTTGACTTTTTTTATTTATGTTTTCTCATGGTTGAATTTAACGATGCCACGATTGGTTAAGATGTTGCTTACTTGAAATCTTGTTGATATTTTCTGTTGTGGACCTTCAAATTGAATTTGGATGCGTGATTTTGCATTCGTAGATAGTTTCTCACAACGATCGGCTCTGATTTGCAGATCTTGGTGGTCTTTTAATAGTTTAATTCACTTTTGTAGTTCGTTTGCTGATGCAATCAGATTTGTTTGTATCTATTTTTGTTCGATTCTTTCGATTGAGTTTTTAGCCTTTTCCATATATGGTCTTTATATAATCTAAAGTGACTAGTTTCAACATTATAAAAAAAATATCCAAATTATTTATTTACTTTACCATGATAGTTGTAAACTATTATTGTAATTCTGAATATTTTCATTTTTTTAATAATACTAGTGGATTTTATCAAAAAAATTAAAGTCATTTAATTAAATGGATGGTATGTGTTGCAAATTTAGAAGTTATATATTAAAATTTTCAAGAATGAAAATAAATAATTTAAAAGAAAAATATTTAATTATACAAAAATTTCAAATTTATGTACCAAAAAGAGAAGGCATAATGTGGAAAAATATCTCTAATGTTTGATTGAATAGTCACTTTGATCCTTTTTTTTGAAGTTTTTTCCCTCAACGTTTTATTTTGAGACAAAAAAGCTCATGTATGGATGAAAATCATTAGTTAACATACAATTAATGCTTCAAATATGTGTTTTTTTATCCTAATGAAACATGATTGCTAAAATGCTATAGGAAAAAAGAATAAGGATCAAAATGACTATATTATCAAATATAATGAATCTTTTTGTCCTAAAATGAAATATTAGAAACTCCAAAAAAAAAGAAAATATGAGAAAAATTACCATTTTAATAGATGTTGGGGTTAATTTTAACATTATGCTATAATTATATTTAGCTTAGTTATTATGATAAGGAATAATGTATTAAATAAAGAATTAAAAATAATACAATTGAATGTAAAACAGAACTTAGCTTAGTTGGTAGAACGGACTGTAGTGAGTATGCATCGAAAAATTCCTTTGGTTGCCGGTTCAAATCCGGCAGGTCGGATTTTTGTCTGTTTTAATTTTTTCCTGGATTCATTTAATTAAAGGATTTTTTTAATGTAATACTTATTAGCACAGGAAAACGAAACCACTTGGAAAATTAAGATTAAAGTCTTTTGGGAATGTTTATGGAAGTGTTTTTTGTTTAAAATTCATTTGAAATGTATAAGTATTCTTAAATAACTCATTTCCAGTTAAGAATTTACGTTTGAAAAATTATTATTGACTCAAACAAAAAAAATTAAAAACGATATTCTTATGTTGAAAAAGCTTATTTAAAAAACTCGTTTAGAGAAACATTACCAAACGAAACAATGTAGCCAATTTCAACCGTTTGATATATTCGGAGATACATGTTAAGTTTATAACATAAAGCTTGAAGCTTCTTGATAATGCTTTCCATCCCTAAGGTAAATAAAATATTCTAACATATTCTCAAAAAAACTTTAAATTAAAGCTGTAATATGTTTTGTTCATACTAAAAAAAGCAATACACTAAATATTAATGGCCTAAAAAAACTAAAAGTTCGTCGATGCTTTTAGGGTAAATTACTTATTTGGTATTCTATTTATTATGTTTTGGTTAATCAATTATTTTTAAAAATATCATATTTGATGTTATATTTTGGCATCTCATTATTAGATTTGATCATTGATTAAATGAAATTGATGATAAAATATGATATAATAATATTTTAGGGCTCAAAACTTAAATTCTATCAAAATAGTTTTAATTCAAAAAATTAAATAAATACTCGATATCTAAAAATCATATTAATTTAGTCCTCATTTTAATTTAAATATAATTTAAATTTTAATAATAATTTTAAATATTAAAAATTTATTACATTATTTTGAATTAAAGTCAATTTAATATAATATGTAAGTTTTGGGATTAAAGTTATTATTATACTATACCACATCGTTATTTTTATTAAGTCAAGTCAGCTATGAGATTTTATAATAAAAACAAAATATCAAGTTAAATTTAATTTTTCAAAATGAATAATTAAAATAGAAATATAAGAATAAATATATACCAAACAATTAGTTTACCCTTTTTCTTACACTTATAAAGAGATAAGGAATACGAAAAAAAATATCCAAATTGTCATATAGGTCATGGGTTGGGTACAACTAAGGGCGTTTTTACCTAAAAAGTACCCAAAGAATCAATAATTATATATCGGACAACAATTGACAAAATTTTACCGGTTTAACATCCATTTGCTGACATGGACGAAAGTGAGATCACCAAACGTGTCTTCCCTAGGTTTTCGTCCGAGCTAACATCATGTGGGCAAAGCACATATCACCATCTGCGCCTTCATGGTAAAGCTGATATGCGGCAGAGGGTGCGGATCACCATCCGCGCCTTCCATAAATACCCCCCAACTGTTTGTCGTTCCCCCTTAATTACCACCTACTCCTCCCCCTATAAATACCACCTCATACAACTCTCAATCCACACCAAGAAAACACTCTCCTTCTTACTTTTATCATTCATTCTAACAAGCTTTAAATGAGTTTTGTTATTGTTTTTAGAATGTAAAATTATTTTTATTATATTAGAATCATTAAATAGTATATTATTTTATTATACTTTACTGTGCTATTTTTTTATGTTTTGCAGTTATAAAATGAAAGGCGGGTTGCTGCGTTTAGATAAAAACTATATCTCGAGTCATTTTTCCGATAAGGTAACAATTTTAAATTGTGTTATGTTAATTATTGTGAATGTTTTATTTTTTTAGTATTCGTTTATATTTTAATTTGTATACTATTTATTTAATTAAGGGAATGATCATATATTAGATCCATTTATTCATGGCGCTAAGTTAGAGATACTGAATTGTGTCTGGCAATATTTAGCCGAGGTTGGATCTGGTTACATAGCTAGATATGAAGGGCATTGAAACCTTGAATCCAACCTTATTTCTACACTTGTTGAGAGGTGGAGACCAGAGAGACACATTCCATCTACCGTGTGAGGAGTGCACTATTATGCTGGAGGATGTTTCTTTGCACTTGGTGCTTTCGGTTGATGGGGATGTTATTTATGGTATGGTGGATGTGGATGGTGAATGGAATTCATTGTGCAAGGAGTATCTTGGAGGTATCCCGCCTAATTTCAACGATGGTCGAATATCGTTTCATGGTTGGCTACAAATTTTCGACAATCGAGCGACGACTGTTCTGTGGAACATGCTAAAATATTTGCCCAAGCTTGCATATTACGACTTATAGGAGGGATTTTGATGCCCGATAAATCTCGCAACCAAGTTCATTGAATGTGGTTGTGTCACCTCGTAGATTTTTGAGTTGCTAGCTCATTCAGTTGGAGCTTCGCGGTTTTGGCATCTCTATATAGAGAAATGTACCAAGCAACTAATTATCGGAAAAATGCTATCAGTAGATGTCTCCTTATTCTACAGTCATGGACATGGTATTGAATGTTCTTTTTATGTCAGGTCATGAAAAACTCGTTAGTCTTCCCATTATTATTGATGTAATTTCAATACTGAGTTCGTATATAAATAGTTTTTTAAGTATATAATG